CCCTGATAAATTTTGTGTAAATAGCATGATATTTTAAGCACTACGGGCTTGATAGGTTACCCTAGAATCACCATGATAACTTTTTGCCCTGGGAAAAAGTTGTTCAAAACATCCCCAATAATTTTTGTGTAAATAACATGATAATATAAGCACCGCATAACCGATAACTTGCAATATAAACATGATGGTAATTTTTTTACCAAAGGAAAATATATAAGTTGTTAAAAACATACACTCGCCTCGCGCGTGGGCCTCTTGGATGAACACAACACATGTCGTGCCACAGGAAAGTCACATAATGTTTAGTGTCATGAGGGGCACACGTGCTATAGGCGTGATAAGTTACGCAAAAACATCATGGTAATTTTCGACCTATGGAAAAAGCTACCGAAACACACCCAGGTTTTAGGTGCAAGTACCATGATAATATACGAATCATAGACCCGGTAACTCATGTACAATCCATCATGGTAACTTTGACCGGGGGGGAGGTTGATGTACATATACCCTGATAACTTATGTGTAAGTACCGCGGTATTTTACATATCGAAGACCTTATAACTTGTGTACAAAACACAGTGGTAACTTTGAAAGGGTGTAGTTATTGAAGCATAGTATCTGATATGTTCTATGTAAATAGCACGGTAAATTATGCAACACGTGTCTGATAACTTGCATACGAATATCATGATAACTTTGTCCTGAGAAGAAATCATGTGGTAGACGTGAAGAAGTGACAGTTTTCTCGGAGGTGAGCGCCCGAGAGATGCGGGAGAATCAGGTTTCTCAGACGAGCCTGCGGGGTCATTTGGGAAGAGGCGAGGTCAAAGAACAAGGGATCGTATGATACTTTAAAATGAAAGAAATAAAGGTGTGGCAGTTTTATTTATATGGCACACGTGTGCCAAATATCACAGTCCTTTTTGTAATGTAATGTCATTTAAAAAGCACATTCCATAATATATTATTTATGTTTCCACTAGTACTTCTCCTACTCTCCTAGCATTTCCGCAAAACGTGTGGTGTGTAAAAACACATGAGTCCACATTCTATCTGACTTGAGTGTTAGTGTATCAGTCATATCACTACTCTTCAACCGTGCATGTAAAATGTAGGCATTTGCTTGGGTATAGCTAGGCACAGTTTAATCTTCTTTTTTCTAATCCATGAAACCTAAGTATATTTCTCTTCTTTGTGATTTGGACTGATGTAAAGAATTAATACACCAAGATAGACAAAGTTGACTGAAGTGCCCAGACACAACCCGTAGTTGCCGGAGAAGACGAAAAGTTCAGGGAGATACGATGTCATGCATTCCAGGTCACGTCGCAGGCATGAGCTTAATGAGCCGTCCAGCCCTATAGATGTGGGTATGTGTCGAGCGAATTCTTGCATAACTAAAACTAGGCGACGCCGCAACACTAGGGCGTTCATCACTAACTCATTTATCGGTGTCAATCGATTGCCCCATTGTCGGCCAGCATCCTCTATTGTGTGCACTCCGCACTAGGCGGTGACACGACACACACATTAGGCATCCAGCAAGCAAGTCGCCAACAAATATCAGCAGAGAATAACGGATTGTCTTCATATTCTTAATTTTGTTGATTGATCAATTGTGGCATTTAGTTAAATTTAAGCACAAGTTGTGGTGATTCGCAATAAAACTTGTTCTTACAATGTAATTACATTATATTATGATTCTCTCCTTGTTCTTGCAATGATACTAAATCATTGGAGATATTTTCACTACAAAGAATAACTCATAATTTTATTGTCATTACTATGAACTTTTTATATCTTATGTCATTGAGATGTAGAAAATGCTTTTGACCCTACATACCCATGTAAAAAATCATGGCTCCGCCAATGTGGCCGCCGAAGGCCACCATAGCCAGGGACGAAGCTAGAAAAAATGGGCACTGGTGTCAACCGCTTCCCACGCTAAGCCGCTAGCAGAAATTATAGTGGTGCAACACCATAGATAATGGCCGAGAGCGATATAAAAAGCAACAATATGCAGGTGATATTATTATTACATCTAAAAAAATCATACCGAGTAGCGAGTATTGGCTGAGCAAAGTCATAAAATAACACTTCTTTACATATTCCGGAAATAATACGCAAAAGGATGACTTTGGAATGTTTCATTTGTAACTTTTTGTAAAGGATGAACAAAAGAACATATTATATTCATAACAATACTAAGAAAGAAATAGTGCAAAAAATAAGTATCGTTAAGGAAAAAATAAAGTGATACGAGACTCACATTTCATAACTTCCCTTCTCGATCTTTCATCTTCTTAAATAGATCAATTACATCGTCATTCGTTATTGTAGAAAATATGTTTTTCTCCATATAGCAAATCAAGTGCTGGTCTAACTGGCCTTGAAGACCCTGCCACATTACTATCTAGTGCTGGTCGTTTCCCTTTCAACAAAAAATTATCCATATCTACCTGGTCCTTGGCAAATCAAAGAAAATAAACTAAAAAAATTACTTAGCCAATAGCCATCATGAAATAATTGCACATGTAGAATCGTAGTCTGTAGACAATTTAGAGATCGAGAGGCGAGAGAGAAGGTGCAAATTACTTGGGATTGGAAGAGCCAACACTTGCAAATTAAAGATTATGCACTGGCGGACGGTCAGCCGATGTCAACATTCACCTGAAGAAACGGTCTCGAGTTCGCCGTCGTTCATCGCGATTCGCTGCGGCGGCTGCGGAATTAGCGTTCGAGATGAGGAGGCAAAGAGACGAGGGCGTCTGTCTGTTTGCGTACGCGTACAGCAACCGGGTAGTGTACATCGATTAATTGATACATAGTGCGTACGCATTGGGCCTGGCGTTGTATCGTTGTTTGCTGTCGTAGGCTGTTGATTTCTTTTAGAACTTAATGGATTTTATGGGCTAAGGCTTTAGGGATTAGCTGGTCTGCTGCTGGGCTGGGGTCAATGGAATTTTTGGGCTGGGGTCATACGCAGTTTTTGTTAATACTATTAGCTGAAAAGCCAGAAGGCACTGGTGTCAATTGACACCAGTGAATACATCGGAGCTCCGTCCCTGACCATAGCGGAGACCAGGGCCACCACCTTCATTGATAAAAATCCACCATGAGTAAACCATACATGTTGAGCCATATGATCATAACAAACAACATGCATAAAATTGTATGCTCGATGTGTCACGGCCCAGAGATTTTGAATTGACAAGCGCAACAAGCTGGTCAACATGAAAACAAAATTTAGTAGATGAAGTACATTTAGATCATGAACGTTAGCATAAAGTTTGTTTAGCTAATCTCCCGCAAAAAAAGTTTGTTTAGCTAAGGTGGTAGACAAATAACCGGCGTCCGGCCGCTACCTTTGCAGTCGCCATCACATCACTGCTGGTCGCCGTATGATCTATGTTAGTGTGCACGGCAACGCAACCTAAGTACCTAACCAACACACTTTTTATTTCGTGTGCCAAGGCACATATATATGCATGCACCATTGCAGGAGACCAACAGAAAATGTAGTTCGTTACCATTCCTCCTCCACTACGTGGTGCACCAGCAGCATGCATGCATGCGTTCGTCGCCGGCCGACACCACCGAAAGACATGTTCCCGCGCTCCACCACGAGCACCATATAAACAAACGAATCTACAGAGATCGACCCATCGATCGACATGGCTTTCTCCCCTGGCACATGGCCGGCGATCACTACTGCGATCTTGCTGGCATGGGCGGCGGCGGCGAGCGGCCGTGGCGTGGACGTGGGCGACATGCTGATGATGGACAGGTTCCTCCGGTGGCAGGCCACGCACAACCGGTTGTACCCGAGCGCGGGGGAGAGGCTGCGGCGCTTCCAGGTATACCGCGACAACGTGGAGTACATCGATGCCACCAACCGCCGCGGCGACCTCACCTACCAGCTCGGCGAGAACCAGTTCGCCGACCTCACCCGGGAGGAGTTCCTCGCCAGGTTCATGTCTCACAACGACGATGATCGCACCAAGGATGATAATACGGTCATCACGACGGCCCAGGGCGCCGACGCCGACATGTGGTCGTCTGGCGGCGTCGATGTCTCCTTGGATCCGGCCAGCGTGGATTGGAGGGCCAATGGAGCCGTGGTGCCGCCCAAGGCGCAAACCTCATCGTGTTGTACGTAAATGTCATCCATTTTCAACCTTATCACGTACTCTCTCCATCCCATATTATGTCAAAAACGTTCTTATAATATGAGACGGAGGACATAATATGAGACGGAGGGAGTAGTACTGAGGTTTGACTAACTTTATTTGACACATGCCTGGATGGATGCAGTCAGCAGCTGGGCGTTCGCGGCGGTGGCGATGATCGAGAGCCTCCACTCGATCTAGACGGGGAAGCTGGTGCCCCTCTAGGAGCAGCAGCTGGTAGACTGCGACCAGTACAACGGCGGCTGCAACCGCGGCTCCTTCCGCAGGGCCTTCCACTGGGTGCACCAGAACGGCGGCCTCACCACGGAGGCGGAGTACCCGTACACGGCGGCGCAGGGGACCTGCGACACCGCCAAATCCGACCACCACGTCGCCGCCATCACCGGCCACGCCTCAGTCCCAGGCTCGAATGAGCTCGCCATGAAGCACGCCGTTGCCAAGCAGCTCGTCGCCGCGGCCATCGAGCTCGGCAGCGACATACAGTTCTACAAGAGCGGCGTCTACTCGGGCCCCTGTGGGACGCGGCTCCAGCATGCCGTCACCGTCGTCGGCTACGACGCCGATGAGTCCACGGGTGAGAAGTTCTGGATCGTTAAAAACTCGTGGGGGCAGACGTGGGGCGAGCACGGCTACATCCGTATGCAGCGCAAAATCCTCGGCCCGGGGCTCTGTGGCATCATGCTCGATGTCGCCTACCCGACCATGTCAATGTGAATGTAGCTATACTGCATCAAGCAAGCGTCATTGATCTACTTCACCGTGTATATCTATTAATTGTAACGCGTCCCGCACGTACGTATGTACATCGTCGATTGCACCATATAAGATTACATACATACTATACGAGGCATGTGTACATGAAAACCATATCACTACGTTGATGTGCTTTATTACCCCGCAAAAAAAAGTGTTTTTATTATCGGAAATGTTAACGCCCACACGTGTGGGCGTTTGCATCTCGCCCACACGCGTGGATCCGCGTCCGTTCGTGAGCGCACGAATCTTGGCATGTTTCTAGTGCCACGTAGGACTGGCCTGGTGTGTGGGTGTTCAGCCGGTCGCCCACACGGCCGTTTCACCACACAGAAGGGGCTGGTGTGTGGGCGTTCAGCAGTTCGCCCACACGCCACTTTGCACGCACACACAAGGATTAGTGTGTGGGCATTTGCCATCTCGCCCACACGCCCGTCTCCTCTCCCACACCCAAGCTGCTAGTTGCCATGTGTTTTGCAGTGCACATGGCAACTGCCCCTAGTGTGCTTTATAAGCAGGTGACAACTCTCCTTTTTTACCCGAGTTTGCCATGTGTTTTGCAAGGTACACAGCAACTGCCTAGTGTGCACGTAGGCAGATGGCAACTCTCTTTTACCGAGTTGCCATATGTTTTTGCATGGTACATGGCAACTGCCCTAACGTGCATGTACATGGCAACTGCCCTAACGTGCACGTAAGCAGATGACAACTCTTCCTTTTTACATGGCAACTACCCCTAGCATGCTTGTGAGCACATGGCAACTCTCTCAACTGCCTAGTGTTAGTATGTGGCAACTCCTAAAGTTATGAAATCATGGCAACTACATTAGATCAGACCATACATGGCAACTGCAGTTGAGCAACCATGGCAACTGTAGTTGTCCGACATGGCAACCGTAGTTCAGTGACATGGCAACTGCAGTTAAACGAACATGGACGAGGGTCTGGACCATGGCAACTGCGGGCGCGCGGTGACCGTCACGCGTGGCGTGCGGGACCAGGAGGTACGAGGCCTGACATAACGGCGTGTGGGCGTTATCAACTTCGCCCACACGCACGCGTGTGAGAGGGATCGGGAGGGGAAAAAAGAGGCGTGTGGGCGCTAATTATTTTGCCCACACGTAAGTGTGTGGGCTGTTCCTCTTATATACCACACAAAATGTGTGGGCGGACTCCCTAACGCCCACACGTGTGACATTTATCGGCGTCCAAATTATTAAATGCTAGTACTACCCCAAATAAAGTTGCCAAGCACAGCGGCGCCAAGTTGTCCAACTTCATCCTTTCTCACTCAGATTAGTTGCATGTCAGTCTCCTGGAAAAACGCATTTTAGGTTAGTCCAATTTCGGAAGAAAGAAGTTGTCGACGACTCACTGGAGGGGTGGCAGACAACCCTACTATATATTCTAAGAATAATGCTACACTTACAAAATGTTTGTACGCAAACCTACGTAATATTCTCTCTGCTAACTAACCACCCACCCCCTGATTTTTAGGGTGGGTCCGTGCCCCCAATTAAGCCCAATAAAAACAGTCATCTCATTAAGTAGACATTCCTTCTTAGACCATTAACTAGGTGTAGCAAAGTTCGTACCTTAAGATGGCAAGCAACCTCACTATCTATTTTAAACTGGTAGGCTATTCTATCTTAGGGGGTGTGGAGGTGATGCAAGTTCACCGAAAAACACGG